TGGGCAAATTATTTATTACAATATCATAATATAGTAATTATTATATACTGAGCCTCAGTCTCCTCCTCTACTATAGGCAAACAATACGAACCAGCAGGTGTGCAGTTTGAGGTTACCCTACTTAGAAGTTAGCAAGTTAATCTAACTATTTCATGGCTGCTGGCAGAAGACAAGAGCCTCCTATGTGAGAGACAAAAGATCTTATACATGGCTCAACAAGCAGCCGAGGCATCATGTATGCATAAGTTCTTTTTGCCTCCTAAGTTCCACAGAGGCAACATGGAGGGGCCCATATGGATGTCAGGTACACAGTGAGCTGCATTATAGGGGAGGAGCAATGAGCTTGGGGAATCTGTAAGTGGTAAGTAAGCTACTCTTTGACCAGATAGACACATTACCTCTCCCTCAAGGTTGCTTGCTAGGAACACAATCCTGAGAAATAGCCTGGTAAAGAGTGGCCCAAGCCTTGTCTTTTTGTTTGTTTATGTTATACTCAAGATTCTGGTTGATTGCAGCAAAAGGATACAGATTAAAACCAGCAAAGGGAAAAGGCGCATGTGCAGAGTCCAGAGAAAGGAGGCCCAAACCTCCAGGTGTTCTCTCCAGTGGCGTTGGTCAGAAATGCATTTAATTCTCCCAGTAATGATTTGTGATAATATATACAATTTGCTGCCACCCACAGAAGCTCCCCTGAGCCTTGCTGTGCAGGATTGTTATTGGGAGTCAGTCACACAGGCAGGGAATGCCTACACCACTGATCTCAGCTACTCACACTCCAGTCCCAGAGCAAAACAGGCATTCCCCATTAATCACATTGTTAGGACAGACTTATCTGGTCAGACTGGTACAGCATGGCTCAAGGCCTCCGGCATTCAAAAACAACTGGACAAAATATTTGGAGGGCTCAGAATTTATCTCCACAGTGAGCCAAATGCCAGTCCTAAAGATAAGCAGCTTTTTTATTTTTATTTTTTTTAAATATATTGTATTGATTTTTTGCAGAGAGGAAGGAAGAGGGAGAGTTAGAAACATCGGAGAGAAACATCAATCAGGTGCCTCCTGCATACTTCCTACTTGGTATGTGCCGGCAACCAAGGTACATGCCCCTAAGCGGAATCAAATCTGAGTCCGCAGGCTGATGTTCTATCCACTGAACCAAACTGGCCAGGACTGTGTGTTTTTTTGTTTGTTTGTTTGTTTGTTTTTTTTGTGTGTGTGTGTGTGCGCAGGGTTTATGCAATTTAGATCCAATGTCCAGTTCTCCAGGGCTCAGCTACCCTGGTGAATGACTGCAAGTACATTTGGAGAAGGCTAGGAAGACCTACTGTTTTGTTTTTGCCAATGTTAACATGGTCCTTCATCAATAGGACCCAGCCTCCCCTCATTCAGTGGGGCTTTAGGTCTAGAATTGGCTCATGGTGTGAATTTGAGGGCAGGACCTGGCATTTTGGGCATAATCAGCAAGATATGTAGCAGCATGAGACACCCATGGAGGAGCATCTCCTAACACCTACTTTATGCAGTTCTTATAAAAATTAGATGGGAATGAACATCAAGTGTCTCATACAGGACATGGAACATCATAAATGTACAACAAAGTGACTGTAATACTATGCAGTAGGCTAGAGAATAAATAAAATGAATCCAGTTAATGCAGACTAGTGCATCAAGAAATGTAGCTGAAAATAGATGGGGCCAGAGGCCAGAGGGCAAGTTCTTTATTGTTTTTAAAGATAAATTTTAGCGTGTTTGTAGGCTTGGATGTATGTGTTCCAGAAAAGAGAGGGACTCAAAAATGATAAAACTAAGAGAGAATGACTAGATGGAGCAAAGTCCCTGAGGGCAGTTGATGAAATTCAGGCACAGCTATATTGATGAGCATTGCATATGAGATACTTTTTTTTTTAATCAATCTTTATTGTTCATATTATTACAAAGGTTCCTCATTTCTTCCCCCCTCCACCAGGTTCCCACCCCACCCTCCGCCCCCTCTTTTTTTTTTTTTTTTTTTTTTAATGTTTTTTATTTTAGAGAGGGAGACGGAGAAACATTGATTTAATCAATTGGCTGCCTCCTGCATGCCCCCTACTGGGGATTGAGCACACAACTCTGGCATGTGCCCTGACTGGGAATCAAACCAGTGACCTATTGGTGCATAGGACTACACTCAACCAACCGAGCCACACTGGCCATGGCATGAGGCTTTCTTGAGGTGAGATGTAAGCAAGTGAGCAGAGTGGTCTCACTGGTAAATTTGGAGTCCAGGTGGGGAGTGGAATGCTGAAGGAGTTCCTTTTTAACACCTTGTGTTTTCTTGGTGAAGAAGGTATTCACTGGCTCAAGATAGATGGAAGACTTAAGTGATACTGAAGGTTTAACAGAGGCTGGAGATCAGAAGAGACCAGTTTTTCTTCATAGATCATAAAGGCAGGTGGGAGATTAACCCATAGGGGGGCTGTGTATTAGTTAATTCTTTTGGTTGCAAGTAAAAGAAACTTGAACTACCTGAAGCAGAAGGGGGAAATTACTGGAAGGATACAGCTGGTCATCAAATGGACCTGGGACTGAAGTGCTTTAGGAAGCCCAGGAAGTTGTCCCTCATCTCTGCCCTCTGTAGACCACATATTGGAACTTGGCCACCAATGGCTCCCAAGTTTTCATGAGTTACAGTCAGGTCCAAAGTAAAGTTCCTAGGTAAAGAAATAGTTAGGTCGGCCTAGTGATAAAAATAGGGGAAAGAGCCGAAACTGGTTTGGCTCAGTGGATAGAGTGTCAGTCTGCGGACTGGAAGGTCCCAGGTTCGATTCTGGTCAAGGGCATGTACCTTGGTTGCGGGCACATCCCCAGTAGGCAGCTGATCGATGATTCTTTCTCATGGATGTTTCTAACTCTTTATCCCTCTCCCTTCCTCTCTGTAAAAAATCAATAAAATGTATTTTTTTTAAAAATAGGGGAGCCAGTTCTAAAACGGGGGAGGGAGGGGCTATACAATAAATAAACAAAGAAAGAAACAAATAAATTAATAAATAAAACGGGGGGATAGGGGGCAGGCAGTCATCTAACAGGTAATTGCTAGGTAGGGTAGGGCACGTCTCCATCAGAACTGTACAAATTTCTACTTGGTTAAGGAATTAGACTTATATTTTATATAATAAAACCCTAATATGTAAATCTACCAAATGTAGGAATGGCTGGTGGAACAACTGGTCGCTAGGACGTGCACTGACCACTGGGGGGAAGGGGGGTGGCACGCGCAGATGCTCAACACAGGAGCTGTCCCTTGGTGGTCGGTGCACTCACACAGGGGGAGTGCCACTCAGCTAGAAGCTGGGCTCATGACTGGTGAGCGCAGCCGTGGTGGCAGGAGCCTCTCCTGCCTCCACTGTAGGGGGGCGGTAAGGAGTGAGGGGTCCTGGACTGCGAGAGAGATGTGACTGCAGGTTTAGGCCTGATCCCTGGGGGCATCGGGCCTAAGCCAATAGGTGGACATGCCCCAAGGGGTCCTGGACTGCGAGGATGCAGCCCGGGCTGGTGTACCCCCCTGCCCCCCAGTGCATGAATCTCCTGCATTGGGCCTCTGGAATTTTATAAACAGTAATTCCACAAGGAACACAATCCATTCAACAGACATTTTAATGAGATCCAATCTGGTCCGACCCCTACCTTGGAGTAGCTAATCATTTAAGGAGACGGTTACAATGAACACCAGAACAGAGCAATGACAAAGGCTGTGTTCCCCAGCTGCTCTGGGCTCTGGGGCCGAGGTCAGAACTAAAGTGGCAGGATGCCCTGTCTAGCTGTTATAATGAGACCAGTCAGGTTTGGAAATTCCAATTTGGTGCAGCAACCCAGCCAAGTGATAGGCCTGTTCATTCACCTCAGTACCGCTTTACTGAGCGCCTACCGCCTCGGTGGGTGCCCTGGGGCTCCTCAAAGACTGAGACACACTGCTACCTCTGGGGCTAAGTGAGGGGCAGCATGAACACAACCTGATGACTACATACTCTGCTTTGTCTGCCATCACCTAACTTTCCACCCTCCCTGAAGGGCCTCACCGCATTTTATGAAAAACATGTTGACTGAGGACTCACGGAGGATGTGCTGAAGTGAAATCTAGGCTTTTCTAACCACTGGCTGCAAGGAACCAATCCAAACCCTCCAGATCAAGTACAAGCCAGTCGAGCTTTCACTTCTTGCTGCTGGCCCATATGCCTCCCCTGCTTTTCCTTAAGATCCGTCTTGACCCAACGCTCACTGAACTTACGTCCCAGATCCAACTGGAACCAATTTTCCAGTGTGCAGGAGCCTTAGCTTCACAGCATGCGGTTTAAAAAAGAACCTCAGGTTTTGGGGTGTCTCCAGCCAATAAACCCCAGTGCAGGCTGCCACTCCTCCAAAATCTAATGCAATCTAGAGCTGTTAAAACAAGTCCAGACTAAGGAGGTATACAGTATACACTGTGGTGCTGCCTTATTTTTGTATGACCCTTTAAAAGGAACACTGAAGATCATGTTTGGAGATCACGTGTGGGAAATGAAACCCTATCTTTCAGGAATGATTGACCAAATGCTGTTAACCTGAAAGGCTGCCACATAGAGGAAATATTAAACATATTCTGGCCCTGACTGATTTGGCTCTGTGGATAGAGCGTCGGCCTGTGGACTGAAAGGTCTCATGTTCAATTCCGGTCAAGGGCATGTACCTTGGTTGCGGGCACATCCCCAGTAGAAGGCATGCAAGAGAAATCTGATAGATGTTTCTTTCTCATTGATGTTTCTAGCTCTCTGTCCTTCTCCCTTCCTCTCTATAAAAAAAGCAATAAAATAAAAATAAAAATAAACATATTCTGGGCAAGGCATTCAAGGAAGGAGTACGGCACTTAGCCACCTTCTAAAGATCATGGCTATCCTGCAAAGAAATGACCTGCCTGGTGAGGTAGTGAACTCCCTGTCAAGGGAGGTTTAAAGCAAGAGTAGAACACCACTTGGCAGGAGTGTTGTAAAAAGGGGGCTACACCTGGTCTGGACGAAGAGGCAGAGCAGGGGAATACCCTGCCACCTCTAAATAGGATCCTCCTGGCTGCATGCAAGGGAGACCCTACATGCAAATTAGAAAGCAGACAGCCCCTAAAGTGTAAGGGGAGAAATTTTACCCTGATGGTCACACACACAAATTCTTTTAGGATTGGAGAGCTTGTTAAACTTGAACCAAATGATGTTACCTCTCCTAATGGGACCATCTGTCCTAGAGAGTAAGGCAGCCAGGGCGGTAGAATATACTCAGGTTCAGACCTGGTAGAATATACTGTGGCAGACCTGGGTTTTCATTCTGAATCTGCCCCGTATGACCCAGGGCTTCTCCTTCCCTTCTCTGGCCTCTCCATGAAATGAAATGAACTTGAGACAGTCCTTCCCATTCTAAAGGGCACTGCCCTTTTGACTGGTTCCCTCTACAGCAGGTCTAGGACTACCGTTTTGGACTTGGGGGCTACACTTGTGCACGGCCAGAGACCACCTCTGGCGAAAGCAGCGGCCACACTGAAGGCAGGGGAAAGGCTTCTCCCCGGTGTGCAGGAGCTGGTGCTGGGCCAGGTGGCTCCACTGGGCAAAGCGCTTAGAGCACAGGTCGCAAGCATAGGGCCGCTCTCCTGAGTGGACGCGCCTGTGACTGGCCAGCAGCGAGGGGTAGGCAAAACGGCGGCCACAGTCATCACAGGCGTGCAGCTTCTCCTCGGTGTGCGTGCTGCGATGTATGGCTAGGGAGCCGCTTCGACGGAAGGCACGGCCACAGTCTGGGCAGGGGTACGGCTTCTCTCCTGTGTGCAAGAGCTGGTGCTGGAGCAGCGTGCTCCGCTGGGAGAAGCGGGCCTCACAGTGCTCACAGGCATAGGGACGCTCCCCAGAGTGCACTCGCCGGTGGCTCACCAGGCGAGAGGACGAAGAGAAACGCCGCTCACAGTCTGGACACGGGTAGGGCTTCTCGCCGGTGTGGATGCGCTGGTGGATGACCAGAGCCGTGCGCTGGCGGAAGCGGCGGTTGCACTCCAGGCAGGTGTAGGGCTTCTCTCCTGTATGTGTGCGCTGGTGGATGGCGAGCAGGGAGGGGTAGGCAAAGCGTCGCGAGCAGCTAGGGCACTGGTGGGGTTTCTCCCCTGTATGAGTGGTCCGGTGATTGGCCAGGGACCGGCTCCTACGGAAGCAGCGGCCACAGTCCGGGCAGTGGTAGGGCTTCTCGCCTGTGTGGATCACCTGGTGCTGAGAGAGGTTCTTCCGCTGGGAGAAACGTTTGCCGCACTGGTCACAAACATAGGGGCATTCGCCAGAATGTGCCCGCCGGTGACTGACCAACAGAGATGGATAGGAAAAGCGGCGCCCACAGTCTGGGCAAGGGTAAGGCTTTTTTAGATTCTGGGCACACTTGTGGCTTTTCAGAGCCGGGTGATCAGGGAAGGTACAACCACAGTCAGGGCAGATGGGACCCCCAGATGTCTGTCTGGGAATCAGTCGGGGCTTGCTGGGCTTCCGTCCTCTTTTCCCCTTCCGGGGTGCCTCCTTGGGTGGGAATACTTCCTTCTCTCCATTCTTCTTTCTGGTTCTGGTTTCTACAGGGACACGGGAGAAATTAACTTAACAAACAGGGGGCTACTGCTCTTGCCTATTATACTGTTTACAGGTTATAAGACAAATAACTTGGCCCCTGTCTTCAAGGAGTGTTAGTGACACAGACAACTGAGTGTGACATACTACTAATAAAGTATGGAGGGAATTACAGGAGCCCCTAACCCAGCTGGGAGAAATTGGGGAAGGTTTCTTGGAGATTAAATTGATTTTAAAAATGAAGAGTTTTGAAGAGGTAAGTATAAGGTAGGAAGTGGAAACAAGGCATGAGCTAGCAGGGACTAGCTCAATAGTTCTCAAATTGTATTGTGATCAGAATCATTTGGAGGGCTACTGCAACAGACTACAGGGCCCTACTCCCAGTTTTTTATTTAGCCAGTCTGATTTGTAACATGATCAGGAGCAATGCCCATATTGGTCTGAGAACCACTGCTGTGAGGACCATAACGCTATTGTACCCAATGGCTCTCAAACCTAAACATACATCAAATCAATTGGCACTATTAAAACATACACTTTTGTAGACATCTATAAAGGTAAATAGTTCTGGGATAGGGTCCCCCAAGTGATTAGTATAACTGATTGCCATTTGACAATCTTAGAAAGATAACCCTGGTCTTAGAGAATCTGATATAGAAACTCCAGCTCAGACAGTTCCATCTGCCCCTTTGGGTGGATCTGGGGCCATTCGACCTGAATGGCATTAATCAGAGCCTTGCTTGATCCTGAGGAGAGTGCTGTATGCCTTACACTGGTCAGGGTTCTGCCTGAGGACAGAGAGGCCCCTGCACCCCAGGCAGCTGTTCTCCATGAAACCCCTTCAGCCAAAACACAACTCAGAGGTACAGGTTCTCTCCAATGAGGGGCAGGGGTCCTGGGAAGGAGGCAAAAGGGTAGTAGCTTCTGTATTCACAATAGAAAACTACACACAGTCAAACCTCAGTTCTGGAAGTTTCCTATCATGAACAACTTGCTTCTCAACCTGACAACCCTTTCAAGCTGATAACTGTATGGTCATGACTGTGAAAGTAGGAATCCGTTTACCACTGTTAACATCTCAGGATGTTGTGCTGTGAATATTTTCGTGTTTTGTTTTGTTTTTGCTTTTGTTGCTGCTTATTATTATTAAATCTTCATATTTTACTGTACATTTCCTTTCCTTCTTATTAAATTTAAATTTCATATCTCTTTTGCTTTTAAAGTATCTATAAATTTGTATAAACAGTATATTACACATGTACTATAGATAAGAAAGGCTAAAACAGAATCATTTGGGAGTCTGGAATTAATGAATTCAATTTACATCATTTCTAAGGGAAAAATATGATTCGGTTTTTTCGAACAGCCTTACGGAATGAATTAAGTTCGAGAACCGAGGTTCCACTGTAGTTGGTCTTCAAGCTGATATGTGAATCTGTGTGGGGACCAAACCAACACCATCATCAATGGTACCCTGAGACTGTGAACTGCAACCTGGGTCACAGCCACCGCAGCTCTGAACGGAGTCACCACAAGCTGCGGGACCTCCGCAGGCATTTTTCACTCACTTCTTTGGACCATTAATCCCCTGGGGCACTCCTGTGGGTCCAGGGCAGCTGGTTCCCAATCTTCGGTATTTCGTTCCAACCAGGAGATGAGGGCTGGTTTGGGACCTGCGCACCCTGGGGAAGGAGAACCAGTTAGAGGTCCAGCTCATAAATAACTGGGTAGCCAAAACCGGTTTGGCTCAATGGATAGAGCGTCGGCTTGGAGACTGAAAGGTCCCGGGTTCAATTCCGGTCAAGGGCATGTACAATGGTTGCGGGCACATCCCCAGTAGGGGGTGTGCAAGAGGCAGCTGATTGATGACTCTCATCGATGTTTCTAACTATCTCTCTCCCTTCTTCTCTGTACAAAATCAATAAAATATATATATTTAAAAATAACTGGGTAGCCGGGATCGGTTTGGCTCAATGGATAGAGCGTCGGCTTGGAGACTGAAGGGTCCCGGGTTCGATTCCGGTTAAGGGCATGTACCTTGGTTGCAGGCACATCCCCAGTAGGGGGTGTGCAAGAGGCAGCTGATCGATGGATGACTCTCTCTCATCGATGTTTCTAACTATCTCTCTCCCTTCCTCTCTGTATAAAATCAATAAAATACATTTAAAAAAAAAAAAAAACTGGGTAAATATGCTCCCGGTGGCATCTCCTGCCAAGCCCCCATTCTCCTCCACCGACACATCCTGGTCGCAGTCCAGGACCTGGACACTCTGCTTCCTCCCGCCCCTCCTCCCACCCCCGCCCCAGCCAAGCTCCTCCATCCCTCGGCCCCGCGGAAGCGGATTGGGCCCGGCTCACCGAGCGCGCCCAGGTGGCCGTAGGTCTCCCGCATCACGTCCCGGTACAGGGCCCTCTGCGCGGGCCGCAGGCTCCGCCACTCCTCCGGGGAGAAGTACACGGCCACGTCCGCGAACTTCACCGCCCTGGGCTTCCTTCCCCTTCTCCGGCCGGGCCCGGCCTCTCCGGGTCCCCGAGCGGAGAGCGGAGCGGAAGGCGGTGCCATTGGGCCAGCGAAGCCGGCGCCAGGACCTCCCGCCCCGGCCTCGGCCCCTAGCGGACCCCGGGACTTGGGAGCCCTCGGGGTGCCGGGACGGAGCGTCCCGGGGCCGCCAGGAGGAAACCGGAATCAGCCGCCTGCGGGCTAACGGAAACCTCTCGTCGTTATTCAGGAAACTCCTGCCCGAACTTGGGGGACAGGCACCGGAAGATGCCTTCGGCGAAAATGGCGGCGCTGCCACCGCACCGCCTTTGCCTGGAACACAGGCAGCTTCCAGCTATCGATTTTATTGACCAGAGCGCCATGACGGCTTCCTACCCTCTCTGCCCTCAAGTGTAATGGCGCTGCGATTGGGCTTCACGCCCTTTTCCTCCTATCCCACGCGCTCATTGGACGGCGGCCGAAGACCGAGCGTTCTGATTGGATGCTGACGGAAGCGGCCTGTTTGAACGAAGCCAACGGAAGTCTAAGGGCAGGAACCGGCCCGGGTGCCGGTGACTGAGCTTGGAGGCGGGAAAGCCTCCGAGCGGCCTGGGATTAGCCACCGGCAGTCCGAGCGCTTCTACCCGAGCGAGGGGCGGATGTGAGCGGGGGAGCCCCTGGGTTCCTTTTCGTGTCTTTCCAAGAGGATCCTTCTCTTTGGATAATGGGAACTTCCTTGTTGCCCCTTTGGGAAGGGAATTACTGTTAAGAGTTTCGTATGTGCTGGCAACATACCCAACATGTTACACATTCTGTCTTATTTATTCCTTGCCACCACTATGTGAGGTGATGGTTACCATTCCAGTTCCACAAATGAGGAAAGACATTGCGAGCAAAATAGAGGGAAGATTGAAACAGGGGTGAGGGCGGGGGCGGGGAGTGGGGGAGCAGATGGGAGTCTTCATTCATGCTGCTGAACTAGTCACTCTCCCCTCCCACAACCTTAATTTGCTTGGTAACTCAAGAATCCACCTGAGCCCTAACCGGTTTGGTTCAGTGGACAGAGCGTCGGCCTGCGGACTGAAGGTCCCAGATTTGATTCTGGTCAAGGGCATGTACCTTGGTTGTGGGCACATACCCAGTAGGGAGTGTGCAGGAAGCAGCTGATAGATGATTCTCTGTCATCAATGTTTCTAACTCTTTATCCCTTACCCTTCCTCTCTGTAAAAATATCAATAAAATATATTTAAAAGGCTGTTATGAAAGAAATAATAATAAAAAAGGCTGTTATGCTAAGTGTCCATCTGACCTGCAGCTATGATGCATACTAACCACCAGGGGGCAGACGCTCAACGCAGGAGTTGCTGAGCTGCAGTGATTTGGCAGCTGCGGTTCTACCATGATGTACCCCAAAAGCAGAGAGGAGGGAGCCTGATTCCTCGTAGGGCACATGATTCCACCTTTGGCTGTGGGTTATATTGTTGCTGGGGCACTGTCAGCCCGAATCTGGTTTACTGCACCTTTGCGTCTGTGTTCCACACTCTGTACAACAGCAACTTTGCAGAGTGCCCTCTCACACTCCAGGACCCCTTGGGGGGTGTCGGAGAGCTGATATGGCCCGACCCCTGCAGGCCAGGCCAAGGGACCTCACCTGGAGGGACCCCCGCTCACTCCTCAGATGCCCTTCAAGCCACAGCACCACCCCAGATGCAGCTGGCCAGGAAAGGACCAAGGGAGGTTGGCTCCAGGGTGTGTCCAACCCATCTCACCTAGACACACACACACACACACACACACACACACACACCCGCTGGCCACCTAATTAATTTCCTTTCAACGTGCATGAATCCGTGCACCAGTCACTGGTATTCATATAAGTTCTTTGTTTAATCTCTTCCTCCCCTCCCCTCTTCCCTCTGAGATTATTCACTCTGTTCCATGCCACCATGTTTCTAGATTTGTCAGTTTATTTTGTTCATTAGATTCCACATATGAGATCATGTAATATTTGTCTTTCTCTGCCTGGCTTACTTCACTTAGCATAATACTCTCCAGGTCCCTCCATGTTATCTCAAAGAGTAAGAGATCCTTTTTTTTTTTACATCTGCATAGTATTCTGCTGTGTAACTATGCCGGAGCTTTTTTATCCACTCATCTGATGGGCATTTCAGACTGTTACCAGATCTTAGCTATTGTAAACAATACTGCTATAAATATAGGGATATATATATATTAATTTTTAATTTTTTTTTTTCTGTAACACTTTCAACAATAAATATTTTGCCAAAACTGGTTTGGTTCAGTGGATAGAGTATCGGCCTGCAGACTGATTCTGGTCAAGGGCATATACATTGGTTGCGGGCACATCCCCTATGGGGGATGTGCAGGAGACAGCTGATCCATGTCTCATGGTTTCTAACTATCTCTCTCTCTCTCTCTCTCTCTCTCTCTCTCTCTCTCTCTCTCTGTAAAAAATCAATAAAATATATATTTTTTAAAGAATTATTTTGTAAAAAATCCACTTACCATTGCAACAAAAATAAATTATCTATGAATAAACTTAACCAAGTAAAAGACCTGTACTTGGAAAACTATAGGACATTGAAAAAAGAAATAGAAGATACAAATGGAAGCATATACGGTGTTTATGGATTGAAAGAATTAACATCATTAAAATGTCCAACCCATTAATATTTTAAAGCATCTACTATGGGCAAAACAATTCTCCAAAGCCTACAGGGAATGAAGACTGGAATAACAAAAGCAGTAACACATTCTGAGGATAACTTGGCAAAAAACAAACAAAAAACAACCTGCAGTAATCCTTACATTGAGTTTTACTCTATCCTAAAGATAGTGACTTTATTGAAAAAATGACTGAGGGATGCCTTGCCAGCATGGCTACTAGTGGTTGAGCATTGACCTATGAACCAGGAGGTAAGGATTGATTCCGGTTGGGGCATATGCCTGGGTTTTGGGCTGGATCCCCAGTGTGGGGTGTGCTGGAGGAGATCAGTGATTCTCTTCATCATTGATGTTTTTCTCTCTCCCTCTCCCTTCCACTCTGAAATAAAAATGTATTTTTAAAAAATACACACAAAAACATGTTAAGTGAAAGCAGCCAGTTTTTTTAAAGTGCATATCTTTTTATTCCATTTATATGAATGTCCCAAATAGATAAATCTGTGGAGACAGAAAGAAGGTTAGTGGTTGCCAGGGGCTGAAGGGGATGGCTAAGGGGTTTCTTTCTGAGATGTGCTAAAATGGATTGTGGCCGAAACCGGTTTGGCTCAGTGGTAGAGCGTCGGTCTGTGGACTGAAAAGTCCCGAGTTCGATTCCGGTCAAGGGCATGTACCTTGGTTGCAGGCACATCCCCAGTGTGGGGTGTGCAAGAGGCAGCTGGTCGATATTTCTCTCTCATCGACATTTCTAGCTCTCTATTTCTGCCCCTTCCTCTCTGTAAAAAAAACCAATAAAATATATTCAAAATGGATTGTGACCAGAACCGGTTTGGCTCAATGGATAGAGCGTCGGCTTGGGGACTGAAGGGACCCGGGTTCGATTCCGGTCAAGGGCATGTACCTTGGTTGCAGGCATGTCCCCAGTACGGGATGTGCAAGAGGCAGCTGATCGATGACTCTCTCATCAATGTTTCTAACTCTCTCTCTCCCTTCCTCTCTGTATAAAAATCAATAAAATATATATTTTTTTTAAAAATAAAAAAATAAAATGGATTGTGGCATGGTTTTTCATAACTAAATATACTAAGCATTAAATTGTACTCTTTTTTTAAAATCTATTTTTATTCATTTTTTACAGAGAGGGAGAGAAATAGTTAGAAACATTGATGAGTCATCGATCAGCTGCCTCTTGCACACTCCCTGCTGAGGATATGCCCGCAACCAAGGTACATGCCCTTGACCGGAATCGGAATTGAGCCCGCGACCCCTCAGTCCGCAGGCTGACGCTCTATCCACTGAGCCAAACTGGTTTCGGCTGAATTGTACTCTTTCAATGGGTGAAGGATATAGTTTGTGAATGACATCGCAATAAAGCTGTTCAAGTCACTGCACTGTAGTCGTAGACATGGAAAGATGGTCATGGTAAATTATTCCCACATAAAACACAGGCCTTCCCCAGCCTCGGCCTGATACCTGCCATCTTAGCTCCTCCTTTCCCTAACCCCCTCTCGGCATTTTGCGTCCTGTGGGTAATCTCCGCGTCTGCAGCTCTCACCCAAGAATCGGTTTGAGTAGGTTACGAATGAATGGATAAATGAGCGAAAATGGGCCGCGCGAGCCCCTACAGGGCTTCGCCGAGCGCCCCCAGGTGGCCGTGGGTCTCTCGCGTCCCGTCCGGGTGCACGGCCTTCTGCGCCTCGGGCTCCTCCACTCGCCCAGGCCCGAGCTTCACAGCCCTTTCTCCTCCGCTCGGGGCCAAGCTCTGGGCTCGGGTGGAGCGGGGGCGAGGGCAACCCTCTGGCCGCTTTCAGGCCCCAGGTCCTCGACGTTACAACCCGGCCACTGTCTCTTCCGGGCCGAGGAGACTGCTCCGCGGGCCCGGGGTCTGAGCCGGCCCGGTGCTGGCTCCGCATAGGGCCCGCTGCGGCCAGAGCCCGGGAATCACGGCGTCGCGTCGTGGGTCACTGACACGGAGTGGAACAACCGGGAAACGCCCTCACAGAATAGGGCGGCGACCTGCCTCCACGGCCCCGGTCACTCGTCCCCTCCGGCGGATCTTATCAAAGGAGCGTCCGCTCCGAAGCTGGGCTCCCGCAGTTACAGTTCTTAACCGCTCCTTTGGTGCTCGGGGCCATTGGCTCGAGGACGTGGCTCTGACAGCGCCCCGTGATTGGTCACTCTCGTTGCTGAAACAACTACGTCTGCGCTGATTGGCCTCTTGGGCCAGACTCCGGACGCTGTTGCTAGGGAACGCTTGACAGGGGGCCGGGTTCTGAGAGCCGTTAGGAGGGGTTTACCGGCTACTGAGTCGGCCTTGGCGCGGTTCTACCTCGGCTCCCGGTCCGATGACCCACACGGCCCCCCAAAGCGCGTTCTGGACACAAATGAACTGGCTCCTGTCCTTAGAGAAGGCATTTCTGGGAAGCTGAGCACATTTATGGCATTTTTACATAATAGAATCCTCTAACCCTGAGCAACGCTCCACCTGAGGGTAGGCAGTGTGGTCCCTATTTAAGAATAAGAAAATTGAGAGTGGCTGACTGGTCCCCAGCCTCTCTGGTTTCAAGCCCAGTGCCCTTTCTACTGACCTAATTAATCACCAGAATTCCCCTTCTGAGCCGCCCCGCCTTGGAGGAGCTCACGAACACTCCTGGATAAAAGTCCCTGCCACCACCAGGACTTCCCGGTTCACAGAAGCGCCCTGTTCCCCTTTCTCCCTCCTTTTAAGGGCTGAGTACGCAGTCAGAATCTTATT